CATGGCTCTTCAAAGGAATCGGTGAACATTGCCCAGAGGAACTCCGCCTAGAGACATGAAGCAACATGGGAGCAAAAACACGATCCACAGTCAGAGCATCTCTGTTGAGCTTCCTTTTCCTTGCCTGGCAGATAGCAATCATGGCTGGTGCCAGGAGGAAGTCTTGCAACTGTGTGGGGCCACAGATGGGGTGTGCAAATATGAGAAGATGGGGTGAATACAGCCAGGCCCTGGAAGAGCCAGAAAAAGGGCTGCAGCCTGATGCGCACCTCTTAGATGTTCCCTCTTGCTGCAGAAGGTGCCATCCTGGCTAAATAATGGAAAAATTCTTCGTGTGTGTCCTTGTATGGTTCTAGTTTGTTCATTAGATCAAGCTAAATTTCCACTGAGACTGTCAGTGTCACTAGCCTCTGATCTGAAACTCCTTCAGTTGCTTTTGTAAACTTAGTGTGTCCTTTTAGAATCTTTGCATGTAATGTGATGTTTTGATCAAAGTTCTCTGGCTCAGTGCAGATTTCATCAGTTGGATGTAGACTTCCTGAGAGTACGCAGACTGTCTCTGGGAAGATGAGCTATCAGTTCTAAGGGTTTATCTACATGGGGAAATTGACCAGAATAAAACAAATCACTTTATTGTGGAATAATTAGGATGTTTCCAAACTGGTGTAATTATTCTGGAATAAAAGTGATTTTTATTTGAGAATAGTGCCAAAATGGGGAGCGGTTGTGGCATAGCTTATTTTGCAATAGGTATTATGGTCAATGTCTCCATGTGAACAAGCCCTAATACAACCAACTGTGAAGCTGATGGTGGCTATGGAAGAATTTTTGAAATTATGCAATATGTCTTAGTTCTGCTGGGTATTTTGCTTTCTCAATAAGGCTTAAATAGTGTGCCGAACACTATATGACAAGTTCAAGATGAATGGACCTGAGATGTTCTCTAGTCTTTATTTTAGTTGTCTGTGCAATTAGCAAAGATCTCTGCATTCTTAGCAACTTACATGCAGCATTTCATCCTTTTTCTTTTCAGATTAGAATCAGTAGCTTTAAGTAGAATACATTTGTCCCTTTGCAGATGCTTCTAGTCATTGTCAGTTCTCTTGTTTAATTCAGGATAGGGCGTTAGTGTCAATGTCGTTTCATTTAATTTTTCCTGTTCTTCACTTCTGTATCTAATAGTGGACCTGTGAATTTGAATCTGTCCAGCATATCTAGGAGAAAGCTGTATCTGCTTCTTAAGTTGCTCAGTTGTGCTATATTAAAGGTGTTGATAACATTTTTAAAAAATCAAGTCTTAAGTTATGGTTGTCTCCATAGTTTAGGCCTAGATTAATCATTGCCATTTTTTGGATGTTGAAGAGAAACAGACTCTTCCTGGATGAACATGATGCTGAAAAGTTGCTGGAAGGCCTAACATAGGAATATAAACCATTCTGGCTATGTTTTAATGTTGACGGTGGTGTCAAATGTCTCTCTTGCAGGGTCATCCAATTCATCAGCTTTTTGTTCCATTTAACTGAAGAAAATCACCTTTTTGAGGTGGGGTCGGGGGTGGAGGGATTGGACTTCTTTCCTGATGTTAACTCCTCCACAAACTCAACTGTGTAGTCTAATGAAGTCTGTGCTATAATAATACAGCTTCTAATACTACTGCTGTAGTTATCTGTTAATGTTTCTGTTTTTAAACCCTATTTTCAGAGGTTTTATACATCTGTCAGACAACTTGCTTCATTTTTTCATTAATTAAGCTGATACTTTGCATGCAAGACTCACATTTTTCCGAAACAATTCTCACAGAAATAATCAGTTCAGCTTCTTCCAGTTTTCTATCTGGTACTTATAGGGCCTGTGTTATAGTAATAATTAAACACCTTATAAACCTTAATAAACTTATCTTCACAACACAACTGAAAGGAAGGGAAAATTACCACAACTTTGTGGATGGAGATTTGAGGCACAAAAAGATGAAGTAACTAGCCCAGGGTCACAGGCTCAAGTCTGTGGGAGAGCTGGGGATCAAATGTAGATTTGCTCTGTCTAATTCAGTACCTTAACTGTAAGGCTTTCCTTCATTCCAAACAACTAATAGGCTTTATATCAGTGTCCCAAGTATTGACTACATAATTCTAGAAAAAAGGGCTGGTAAAAACTAAATTTTATAATTAATACATGCTCCTGAACTTGTTGGGGAGGAAAAACACTTCAAAGGCATAAGTTAAAGACATCAGCAGCGTTAAACATAAATCTTCCAGCTTTTGTCTTATTATTTAATTTGAAAGTACTGTTTAAATTTTGTAACTTTGAACATTTGGGAAATAAAAAGTCAAAGTTCAGAATTGTAGTACTATTAATGTGTTTTGAGATTCAGGAGGTTTATCTTCCCTTTGATACAAGGATGTCTATAGCTCACAAACTTTTATTGTGGTGGCGGGGATGGATGTGTTCAATAGTTGGTAGAAAAAAGCCAGTATGGTGTATAAGGTCAGTCATGTGCTGAATGTGTATCTTGTGTAAGCAATATGAGTTCTTGACCAGAATAAAATAAATTTAGCATTTGACATAACAGTGTCCATGCCTGTAGGAGTCAAATATAATGTAGCCACAGACAATACAGATGCACCAGACAGTGTTGCAGGTTGAAGCTTTGGTAATGACCGGAAGAGATGATAGAAATACTTTCTCTGAAGGAAAAAAAAAACTGGTGGGAGATCACTTTTCTTCTCCCCATCCCTCAAGTTGTGAGTAAGTAAGGCAAAAAAAAAAAAACCTTCACAAAAAAGCATAAGAAGACAGTGTCATATTTAAAAAATTGGGGAAAAACAGACTAATGCCTCTGCTTCGGCCAGTATGTTTTCTGGGATAGAAGATAGTGATGTGTGCACTCTACTTTAAAGTATGTGAAGTACTCCTGGATGTTACGAAAGTTAGATGAACTCAGAATATAGCTTTCTGAAATTTTGTTTGTATTTCTATTTTGAATCTCTTTATGATGTCTTACAAAGAGCCTAAAACAGCTGCTATAAGTCTATTGTGTTAAATTTTGAACAGCTTCTATAAAACCAGAACTGCCAGTAAAATGGGAGTTAATAGATAAGTAGGAGCAATCAAAACATACAGATTCAGGTATTTGAGGATATAGTAATATCCATATAAACTCATTTAAAAAACAAAAAAACCCTTCTGTCATGCTGATTACAAAGAGCTTTCAATACATGTAGTGATGTTTCTTGTGGGCAGAACACAGGTTAATCTAGAAGATTATTGCTCTGTTCTCTTGTTTTTAACATTGACACTTTCAGAAAACTTGCTCCCCCACAGTTCTGCTGCATCTTTTATTTTTTATTTCCCCCCCTCCCTTTTTCCCCCTCCATGTGCTTTCTCATTTTCCTAGTCCAGGAAGGAGCAAAACCACTTCACAGGTAAACTTGCATTAAGTGTATTTGTTGGAAATGTTTATACTCAGTATATCAAGATATCCTAAAAGAGTGTTCAAATCATATAATTCAAAATGGGGCATGATGGGTATATTTGTAGGTAACCTTCCCTAGGAATAGTGTGACCAGACAGCAAGTGTGAAAAATTGGGACGGAGGTGGTGGGTAATAGGAGCCTATATGAGAAAAAGCCCCAAATATTGGGACTGTCCCTATAAAATCGGGACATCTGGTCGCCCTACCTAGGAAGCTCTTTGAAAACACATTAATTTGGCATAATCCTATCTCTTCAAAACTTGCTTCTGTCTCATTTGCCACAGAGATGATTTAGCATCTAGAGAGGAGGAGAACCTCTACCAAAGACATTCAGATTAAGAACATCTGGGTCAAGCACTGACTATGGATTCATCCAGTTTTTTCATGTCCACCTTCCTTATGCCACCACAAAGTTGGAGCCAGCTCAGGGAAGCCAGGCAGAAATACACACACATATTTTGAACTGCTTAATCTCTTTGAGATACAATAGGAATACGCTGTGTCAAAGCAAGCACTTACACAGGAAAAACAGACACTTGTACAAAACAGATGTCTAAAGACAACTTATATGCAGAAGAAAACCTACTCTGGCATTTTTCCTTTTCTATGTGTGAAGGCGTTCTTTTAATGAAGGGCTGTAATTATCACTGGTGACTTTGTAAAATCACAACTCTTGTTAACACTTCTTTCAAATACAGAAGTCTTGATGAATTGACTAAGACTTAAGCTATGTCTGCACTGTGCACCTTTTAGTGACACAGCTGTGCTGCTACAGCCATGCTGCTAAAAGGCATGCAGTGTAGCTGCTGTTTGTCGGTGGGAGAGAGCTCTCCTGCCAACAACTTCCACCCTTAATGAGCGGCGGTAGCTTTGTCAACAGGAGAGCTCTCCTGCTGACAAAGCGCTGTTCTCTCTCTCTCCCCCCCCCCCCCCGGACAAAAGTTTTGCTGACGAAAAGCGCTGGTGTGATTGATTTTTTTTTCACACCTCTGAATGACACAACTTTTGTCATTCAGGTTCCAGTTTAGACAAAGCCTTACTGTAAAATACACTGAAACATTGAGCCAATTGGTTGTAATATTTAGCCAACAGAATGACTCCTCTTCCAGGGAGAAGAAAGATTTCTTCTACAGAGTAGTGTCCAACGGATGTTTCCATAGTCACTCTCCAGAATGGAGAAATATTGAGTCTTTTATATGTTTCGTATTCTAATGTTTACACCTCTTAAAACTGACTTTTTTTCATAATTGTTCCTAGTAGTGTCCTTTGTACTATAGTGTCAGTTTGGACAAGACAAGACAAGCCAGTCTGCTTTATCTCGTAGTGCTCAAATAATGTACTTGCAACAGTCGCAGCATTAAGATGTTTTAGAAGTCTTAATTAATCTAATGTTCAGTATTAGCCCGTAATAGCTCTGGGCTGCTCCCTCCACACAGGAGACATTGGGAGGAAACACTAATCTAATTCAGATTTCCTTTCAGATAGAATTGTCTTTCTCCACGCAGAGGCTTTTCAAAGTCAGCTTGACTACAAATGTCAAGGCATTGATAAAGATTGGTGCTAAAATTAGTTTATTGTATACTTTTCTCCCTAGAATGGATGGAAAGCCTGAACTATGTCAGCTCAATCTATTTAGCTAGTTTTCCTAACTTCCATTTTTCCTGAGACTAGTAGTCCTGCAGTGCAATGTATCATAAATTAGAATTATGCATCCATAAAACACAGGTACCTGCATGGTATAAGAACTAGTTCCTTATAAATAAATGGGAAGTTCTGTGCTAGTATATATAGCCATGGTGAATGCCTTAATTGATTGATCATGTGTGCCTTGGTCCAAGCAGCTGAGGATTCTCTTTGCACACCAGGAACAAAAGTGAATTCAGTCTGAACTTGATTCCCTCTTTCAGCAGTTGGCAATCAGTAGACTGTGCACAACGTCAAGAAGCATCTAGCAGTGTTGAGAGAAGATGGAAGCAATGAAGGTGTGGCATGATAGTCTGAGGGTAACTGTGGTCATGGGTGGAAAGGCCTGTCACTTCTGTGATGAATTTAATCTAATGTTGGCATGTCAAAACACTGAAGTTTCTGATGCTTTTTGAAAGCAATTCACCTTCACCTTGCAACAAGAATGAGGCCAGCTACTACAAAGATGAAAATGAACTAAAGACTGAGGACATGAAGCTTCAGGCACAAGGAGAGCAACAATAAGTAGTGGATAAATGTTGATTATCAAACAGATGATTGGAGATGAGGAGCCTTCTTTGTAAGGTATTAAACAGCACTGTTTGTTCTTGTGAAAATTATTGCATAAGCTTTTATGGTGAGGTAAATCAGCATTTAACTCAGAGCCTATACCGTTATTATTAGTGTGTTTGTGATTTTTAATTGCAAACTTAACATTGTTTAATGACAAAGCACTAACCCCACTCTTGACCACAAACTTTTTAATAACAGATTTCTATTTATACCATTATTGCTGAATGTGGAAATTCCCTGATGCTGAGATAGTCATGGGAGGATGAAAATATGAGTTTTTAAATCTGCTTTGCGTGGTCATTAAATTGTTATAATGCAAAACACACAACCCTATTTCTGATCTACAAACTGTTTCTATAAGCAAATTCTCAGTTCAGTTGGGAACCTCAAAGCCAGGTGTCACAACTGTAGTCCTCATGAAAGTGTGCATGGTTGCTAGTGAGGCTGGAAGCTTCTCTCTGAATCTGTCAAGCTTTTAACTGAGACACTAAAAAAATACTTAAACTGAGTAATAGGTTTCACTGACATCTATGCATGGCCCAGGCACTAATAAAACTAATTGGTGTATTGAGGAAGTTCCCATTAATAGGGTAGTCAAAACAAATTCTTGAAATGGTTGATCTCTCTTGTATTTCATCTTTTTGTAGTCACTTGCTGTCACCTTAATAAAATCTCTTCCAGTTTTGCCACCAAATAGAAAAATGCTCTTCCATTCTATTTGTACCAAGAGAACATACCAACCTTTTCCACTGAATGAGAGTATCAATCAAATAATTACAGCTATTGGATAGGCCTTGGGCTTGCTCATAAATTAATTCTGGAGCTCAGAGGGGGCATATGTTCAAGTGAAATATCTGCTAGAGCTGTGATGCCACTTGCAATGGCATAGTTACAAAGATTAGTGTGTAATTTTTGAGTACCTATTGGTATAAAACAGTAATATTTAGAATTGAGGTGTTATGCATATTTGTAACGGTCAAAGAACCTAGTGATACACGCATTCACAAATGCCTAAAACTAAGCTGCTAGGTGAATTTGTTTAAGAGAATAGATTTGGCTTTCTTAAAATAGTTCCACTTCAGTGTTTCAAAAAACAAAACAAAAACTCTAAATTAAAAGTCATAGCTTGCATAAAAGTTTAGTTTGTCTTGTGATGCAGCTTCTTCTTAGCATATGTGCAACATGCCTCAGGTGGCACGTGACCAGGATTCATCACTGAATTTGGTCCGCTGGTTGGATCATTGGTTCCCCAGGCCAGATATTGATGGGGAGTGCAACGTGAACGCTGATCCATGCTCCCCTGTGATGCAGCTACTCAGTCCTAATGTAGCAAAATTATTCTAACAACGTTTTTGTTTTTCTCTTAAACATGGATTAGAAATGGTGGATAAAGTACTGGTGTAGTTATCCTCTCTCATCAAGCCTTTGTCCAGGTAAATCCAGAGGTCAACCATGGAGCACTTTGACCTACAGACAGGCAGCATAACTTCCAGCAGGAGACAAAGGTTGAAAATGAGAACTAGTAGAAATGAGATTATTCTTGTTTTCCTCATGCATGAGCTATGCAATCTATTCCTAACTCTGGAGTGTTTCACTGCTGCTATCTAAAGAAACTACTATTAGATGGGAATGCCTTACCAGCAGATACCTGCATAAATGTATTGTCAAATGATTTGGCACAACTGTGACTCAACTCATCTTTCACCACATCTACTTTGCATGCCCTTTCTCGTACCATCATATCTCATGTATTACTAATGTACAACTGAAAGTTGTTAGAATGTGGATCTTCTCCATTACACAATCTTAATCTTTCGCCCCTTCCTTGCTATTCTAGTACATGTATATGGCTTTTTTAAACAGCTTGCGGTGAGACTTGGTCACAATGGGAATCTTCCATAAGCAGTATTCTAACTCACTTAAGTCCACAGAGCTAGTAGAATTCGATTTTCATAGTTTTCTTAGGCACTCTGTGAGTGTGCTAAATTTCACCCAGTTGGGAATTGTCAGTGGTTTCTTATTTTACCTTTAGTCTAGTTTTTTAAAGATTTCTGTAACAAACTGCTTGCAAAGGATGTCCTACATTGAGGCTTCCTTGTATTTTAAGACTCGCAAAAGTCCCTTAATAGCAATGGTTGCCTACTGAAAGGCATTTTTTTTTAGTACCCATATTTTCTGTTAAAAGGCAAATTTATGAGGGGAAGCATCTTTAATGATAGAGCCCTAGTTATTCTTCTTCTGGGGAACATGCTACTAGATTATGTAGCACAGCCTAAGAGTTTTATCCATTATGATTGTGAATCATGCCTTCTAGACATGGAAGCTTACACTCACCTAAACCAGTGTAAAGTTGGTGTGTAGCTCTAAATGACCGTCACCCTCCCCGGCTCCCAATTTGTTTTCACTAGGAAGCCTGCTGTCACTTGAAATTTGAATGATATCTATACTAATGTGAACTTTGGTTGGATACAGTGGAGATTTATGACTTTAAACTCCTATCCCATATTCAGTTTCCCCTCTTTAAGGTACGGAAAGAAGATGTACCTGTCCTGCTTACATGCTAAAAGCCCCAACTGCTGAGGCAGAAAACACTACCCTTCTTTAGCTAGCTGCCCAGTTGTGTAGCTTTTGCTGAAAACTACATTTATAGTTACGCATTATCATAAGAATGGCCACCCTGGGTCAGAGCAAAGGTCCATTTATCCCAGTATCCTGTCTTCCAACAGTGGCCAATGCCAGGTGCCCTAAAGGGAATGAAAAGAACAAGTAATCATTAAGGCTGCGAGTCTGTCACAGAGGTCATGGAAAGCATGGGTTCTGTGTCTTTCTGGGACCTCAGCAACTTCTGCAGCTGGCAGGTGTGACTGACCCCAGGCGGCCCCGGGACCAGCCGCATCACCCCCCCACACACACACACACAACAGCAGTGGTCTTGGGCTGTCCCCCACTTCATGAGCAGCAGCAGCAGTCCAGGGCTGCCACCTCCCTCTTCCAGCAGTGGCAGCTCCTGGAGCATGGGCGGGAGCCCTGGAGGCCTCCCCTCCCCCGAACACAACTGCATTTTGACAGGTGTGGGCAGTATTAAACTGAACTTCATATAAAATAACAATACTTTTCAGTGACTTGTTAGGTTTAAAAAAAAACAACAAAACTTTCCTGACCATGCTGAAGAACGCTAAGGCAGTCTGTGACAGAGGGAATGGAATTTAAGTCCTACTTGCTAAAGACTTCACAGGCCTTCATATTAATTAGCACTCTTGTGCAAGTGCCATCTCCAACTTTCCCTTTCAGTGGCACATTCTACCATCTTCTGACTTGTTTTGAGGTAATAGTTAAAGCACAGCTTGTTTCTCAGTGCTTGTGTGTGAAGGAAAAGTAGTTCTATTAAGCAGGGCCCCTGCTGAGTCATCTGCTTTGACAAAGTAGAAGTATAATTCAGTTCTTTTGCATATGGGGGTGACTCTGACATTCTACCCTTTGTATGCAAATCTGTCTACTTCTGTCATGACTTCTGCCCAGCCAACAGCCTTTGACAGCAGGAAACTGGCTTTTGGGTGATCAATACTGTCTATTGCAGAATAACAGCATCACATGGTGGACATGTTAGGTCTGTAACTCCACCACAGTTGTTAAATTCCCCCTTCATGCTCCTTCCATTATCTCTGAGACCCCAATACCAATGACCTCTTCTAATCAGATTTTTTTAAGTGCCAGCTGTTGATTTAACCACACCAACCACATGTTCCAATGAGTAATACTCTATTTTTAGCCAGTGTCCACAAAGCAATAGCACTTGTCCATAGTGATTGCAGTCTACATACACATAGGCAATTACTGTAATAATGGGCCAAGCGCCTCACAAAGAAAAGTAGTCTTATTCATTTACTGTCCCATTTCACAAATGTAGAGTAAAATTGGTTCAAAACTCTGAACTTCATCTGGTCATAGGTCTTGTTTGTATATAGGGGAGTCTCAACATTTAGATCCTGCTGGTTAAACAGGTAGCTGTAGGTGCCATCTATGATAGATAACCTCTCTGCTACTTCACTGTCAACAGCACTCTTCTTTCAAAGTATTGGTATAAATTAGGGTAAATGGCTCCTCCATAGAAGCATCGACATTGAAAATAGCATATAGTGTGATTGATAGCCAATACTGTGCTGACAAACGTCTAGCGGTCTGGACATGTTGAAAGCCTCTAAAATTCAGTGCCTCAGCATGTTTTGCTGAGGCACTGCCCAGGAATGCACATGCACAAACGAGGTTGTGTGGAGTTGCATGGGATCATACCTCCATTTTATGCCAATAAATATCTCTTGTGGACCCACTGAACTCTATTAGGGGTAGCCAGCTAGTCCTCAACTTTTACAAATGATATTTGATGCTTCCGGAAAGCGATGTTGGAGGGGTGTGTGGAAGGTTATTAGCAATAATTGGACTAAAGGAAAGAATATTAACTGCACCTTCCTGTACTGTTCTGTCAAAGTTCTTGTTTTTATGCCTGGTTTTAAATAAACGTCCCTCTCCACCCCCAAATATTTTAAACAATTTGCATATGTCAGTTTAGAAGACAACATCCCCTTATAATGGATCCAGAACCTTGGGGAGCACTCTTCCCCTGGGGAAAATACATTTATCCTGTTTAATGTCTGTCTCAAACTTAATTTTATGAAGTGTAGGGCAGGAAGGTAGATAAAGTCCAATTCAATAAGTCTCAAATATTGGTTAGCTTTTTGGCTTTGGTTTGGTTATGTAGTGAGAGGGAAGATGTCTCAGGGTTTATCATCCATACAGAGTTAATGTAGGCTCTTATTCAGGTGTTGCGCCTTACCCCCTCTCTGAGGCTTTGTCTACACTGGCAACTGAACAACAAAGTTTTGTCCTTCAGAGGTGTTAAACTCTCCCCTCCTCCCACCCCGAAAGACACATGTTTTGTCAAGGAAAAGCACCGCTGTGAACAGCACTTAGTCAGCAGGAGCGCTCTCCTGCTGACAAAACTACTGCCGCTCGTT